TCCATTGTTGTCTTTTCACTCAAGCTCCCCACTGCAACCGTCGTCGTGCGCCGCCCCTGCAATTTCGTTGCCGTCGTCGCTTGCTGCCCATCACCGTCTTTCACTGCCCATGCAATCCCGTCACAAATTGCTGCCCCTACAGTCCCGTTGCAAATCGCCATCCCTGAAGTCCTGTCGCAGATCATTCAATAATATTTCCTCTTTTGCAGTTTTTTTCCCTGGATCTTTTTCTTTAAAATGGACAACTCGACAATCCAACCGACCCAAACCCGAAATTTTTGGGTTGGGTTGAGTTGAATTGACCATCAATTTCTAAGTCGATAGTTCTTCCATATGGCCAACTTGAAAATTCGGGTTGGTTCACCACAATCCAACCCATTCCTCCGTGGACATCATATATCTAAGAATGTTAAAATCTTCGTCTAATAAATAAATAATAGTTTTTCTTTTTTCTTTTTTCAAATAAAGACAGGATAAGATTGATTTTGAGAATGTGATATTTTAGATGACTTAATTTTTTTTTCTTTCTAATTCATCATTATTTTAGTGGCCAATCATTAATGTAAGAAAGATTGATAGACTATTTGTCTTTACTCAAAGAATGTGAGGGTAAAATTTAATAAATAGTTATATTTTGATTAGCATTAAATTATTTTTTTTTCTTAAAAACAACATTTTTAGGAAACGTCTTAATCTAAATTATTGGCAAAATACGACAAATGTCATTAAAACCCAAGGGGCATGCATGGCTTTGTCAAACGCAGGGGGTCCCTTTAATTTGTCTTCAGCCATTGTGTGACGATTCCATATCTCCATCCAATTAAATAATATATATTTTAAACACATAAAAGGTGTCAAAACTAGAAAGATTTTTGAATGATGAGGTTGATTTGACAATTTGTATGGCCTTTAATAATCATCTGAGTATAGATTTGAAATCTTTTTACGGATTCCGTGTGAAATTCATCAACATCAATTCATGTTTTTTTTCCAATCAAATAATATTTTCTAGCCAACGGTTAACTCTTAACTCTCGTATGTTAATTGTTTCCGCCAACTTAAACATAATTCAAATAGTTAAAATATGTATTCTTCAAAATCTGGAGTTAAATTTTTCATAAAAAAAATGATAATTACGTATGAATTGCATGCAGCTACTTTCTCTCTCATGTACACGAAAAACAAACTAAGGAGCTTTAGCATCCCTATTTCACCATTTTCTTAGTTTTTTTTTAATTAGCTTAAACTTTATAGTTTTCATAGCTATTTGAAGGTATTTTTTCCTCGAAACTTTTACTTACAAGGTTTCAGATAAGCAGAGATATATATGATATTAAGTTGCCATTTGGGCTACAGTTTGAATAGTTCTTTTCGACCGCACAAGAAAGCCATGTGGAAACTTGAGAACTCCTTAACATATATGCACTTCGGCCAACCTCTCATGTTTTTTTTTTTTTTACTCGAAATTGACATCAAAGATTTTCCTTATTAAGCTCACTTGAAAATTTAAACTTGAGACATTTAAGTCAGTATTACCAATGATCAAGCCCTTTGAGAATGGACTTGACATAACTTGTTAAGATAATAGAATCTCTAATTTCAATGTTCATATATATATATTAGCCTACATTATCTATTTTGAGCTAAAGTCTTATACTTCCTTCTTATTTTTTAATTTAATTAAAACGTAGAAATATTTATTTTGAAAATACATTTTGGAAAGAAAAATAATTAAATACTTCTTTTTTATAAAATTTTTCAAACTTTCTACAATTATCGAAAATCTTTAAAAAGTGTTTTTAACTTTCTACAATTTTAACCAAACAATACAACTAAATTTTTGAAAAACACTTTTATTCCTCTACTAGTACTTAAAAAACAATGTCAAATACATAATATATCTTAGCGTACCGCCAAAATAATGGTGGAGATTGTTTGTATTTTTTTAGTAAAACAAGTGAGATGTTCGGAGACAAAAGTAAATTACCATTGAGTTAAACTTATGTTATTGATAATTTATTGGAGTTGTTTGCCATTGACAGTCGAAAACTTAACCATATTATCTAGTTTTCAGTTTCCCATCCTTTTCGTTCAAATCAACTCATAATCAAATATGTAAGATTTTGAAACCTCCAACACACGAAATTATTGTCCAAAAGCTCAAAGACATAATTGTTGTCCACAAAGTCATGTGTGAAACTTCCTTTTGGAGATTGTTATTGAAACTTGTTTTGGAGATTATTATTGTAACTTTTTTTGCCAACCATGTCCCCCTCTCTTTAGAAAAACCACCTTTACATAAATCTTCAGCACATGGGTTGTTTTTCTGTCCTTGATCAAATTGTTCTTTATAAGAAATTACAAAAATAAAAATAAAACGGAATACGTATTTATATATATGGCATTAGGTTTAAATTTTACAAAAATAGTATAAATAATCACATAAGACTAACCAAAAATGATTTTTGTGACATTTAAAAAAAATTAAAAGTTAATAATATTTTTATGGATACATATTATGTTTTTTTAATATAAAAAATGAAATCATCAATCATTGAAAATACATGAGTTCTGAACTAATATATATTATAATACTACGTGGACTTCGCAACACTCCATGTTATTAATTTTCTTAAACATGGAATGAAAAGATATTAGAAAGAAAAATGTATAAATAATTTGGTTCATGATGTTTTGAAACTTACTTTATTTTTGTTACTATATATATTTACACCCTAAGCTTTAATTATGTTTATCAATGATTATTAATGAGATAGTTTCAAATATGCATGTTAATGTATTGATATGGAGATATACTAAATAAATAAATAAATAAATAAATATATATATATATATATTATATATATATATATATATACTTAAACTAAGATAAGTTATAGAATATATGTTGATGTGGGAATTGAATGTATATATTTAGCGGTCACTATCATTCAAACTTACTCTGACCAATCTATGTGACTTCATATTTGCCTACATTACATTAATATGTTAATATAAGATTGAGTCGAGTCATTTTTTTCTTAAAGTAATTGACAATCGAATGATAACAAAGACTAACATAGTTAATTTTTGAATTTGACATAGTAAATTAAATATTAAATTTCATACATCACAATACAATATATTTGAAGTCAAAACGAGCATAGCTCAGCTGTAATACAATATATTTGAAGTCAATCCTACCTCATGGTTGGATTTAAAGTGGTTTTAATGTATTTACCTTAAAAAAAAAAAGAAAGAAAAACACAACTAAAAGTAGAAGAGAGAAAATATATATATATATATATATATTTTTTAAATAAAGGTTAAAACCCTATTTTGCTCCCATGGTTCTTTTTACGACATTTCGTTTTGTGGGAATTTGAGATTCTCATGGGATGGACTTCTAGGTTCCGTGTTTGTTTGGTAAGAATGTTAGATACCCAGGTATTTTATTGCCATACTGGAGGCATATGAGCAATTTTAGATATCTTCCATGAGTTTTTAACATTCTCGTGTTGATGACATATTCTTTTAATAATTTTATCTCTCACCATGTTTGTTATATAATATTTTTTTCATCAATAATTTTTATTTTTCATATATTTTATTTTATTTAGAAAATAAATATATGCACTAATTCATTGTTTTATTGTTTTTTTAGTACTGCCCTAATTCATTGTTTTATTGTTTTTTTAGTACTGCGCTAATCATTGTTAAATGTCTAAAATACAATTTTAAGATATAAAATAAACTTTAGTCATATAATCTCTTAATTAATTTGTTGTTCGAATCTAATGGGCAAAATTTTATTTATTTTAATCTTTCAATAGTCCCCAAACATAAATTAAATTGACATAAAAATATAATATTAAATTAATAAAAATAAAATTTTTATATAAATTCAAATAATATTAAATTTAACATATAAATTATAGGACAAATTGCAAAAGCCACCCAGATAGTTGTTAATATTTTACCCTAAATTTTCAATTTTAAAAATTAAACTCTCAAATCTCACACATGAAAAAAAATTAGACCCAAAGTAAAAACTAGTCCCTTATTATTATTTTTTTTTATAGAATTGCACCCTTACCTTTTCAATGGTAAAAATTATATGCTCAAACTTAAATGAAAAATAATTGGATCTTTTTTAAAATTCTACTTATCGACTAAAAACTTCTTGGTTCGACTCCATTGTCGTTGGAGAGTTCTTCAACCTCTGAAGGTAAATTTGCAATATTCTCAAACAAACAGTGTTGAAGTTCGTCGCAAAATTTCGATACTGCTCGAAAATTTAGAGGCCACACGCCTTTGGCTACAATTGCACTTCCGTCGAAACCCAGAGCTCTGACTTCACCATCACTTTGAACTGGACCAATTCAAATAGATTTAATTTTCTAGAATTTGAAGGTTTAATTTTTAGCGCTAAAAATTTTTAAGGGACAATTTTCTCTGAGGGTTTAGATTTTAAATATTCAAGGGTATATTTTTTTTAGGGTTTAATTTTTAGAATTTATAATTTAGAGGGGGCAATTATAGCAACTATTATACTTCAAGCGTGATTTTTACAATTTACTCTAAATTATAAGACGATTGGTAAATGTGTCGTTGGAAACCTATATGATTTAAATATATTCTTCTCATGTACAAATCTTACAAAAACAAAAACAAATATAGTTGTTCAAATATTTTCGAATGTCCTTATAAATTTTCTTACCAAGGTCTAACCGAAAATGTCGAAATTTCAAGTTTAATTTGTTTTAATTTGTGTTTCCAGTACACATACTTCTAAAATTACCATGATTCCGAACAGGCCATAGTCATGTCATACGACAAAACTTCGTACAAGGGTAAAACGATAAGGAAAAAGGAACAGATCCGGTAACATAACACAATAAACGTGCGTTTTTCTCCTTCTTCTTCTTCACCTTTAAACCAGGGAAAAAAAAAAGGCAAATAGTTTCGTACAAAATTTCTGTCTTATTTATAGAGGAATCGTTTAGCTTTTAAAGAAACCCAGTTTTTGAATTCTATAAAGCTCAACTGCTCAAGGTGCCCAAAAAGGGAGGAAACAAAAAAAAAAGTAATAATAATCATTTCTTTTTCTTTTTTTTTTCCCTCTGTTTTTCTCTTTTGGTTGTTGGTATGGAATTCAATATTCAATCTCCATTGTCGTTCGAGGTGGTGGAGGAGCTACTTCCTCTCCCTTCTCTTTCGTGCGTTGATATCGCCGTTCCTCAGTTGCCCGCCGCCCACAATCTGAGTGACATTATTCTCTCTCAAAGCCCCAAATACGGCCGCCGGCGAAAAGAGCCGCCCGTATTTGCCGGCGACGAAAACAACAAGAAGAAGAAGATTATCCACAGAGATGTGGAGCGGCAAAGAAGGCAAGAAATGTCCACTCTTTATGCAGCTCTTCGCGCCCTTCTTCCTCCTGACTATCTTAGGGTAAACTTTTTACTTTCTTTTTGATTGAGAGAAGATTTAGAAACAGTATTTTGAATCCCTATTCAAGGATTGTGAAAGCATCCATATATTTAATTACTTTTCGGTTGTTAGGAGGCAGCCATAACTGCCCTTTGAACTTTGAACTTTGCTTTTTCTAATGTGATGCATTGTTGGTCTATTCTTATCGCATTTATTAATGTTTTAGATTTCATTTTTGTCCTTTAAATTTTCCCGGTTTAACTCTCAAAATGTATATTTTGATTTAAGAAGTTAAAAAAAAAAAAATCATTATTTTAGTATATGAACAAACAAAATATTCTTTTTCTCTCGTGAACTTTTTAGAAAATAACCATTAATTAAGATTCTTCCTTTGTCATTTAATACCGGCATATTCCAATACTTGCCTCTCATCTATGTGACTTGAATACATACATATTGTTAACGATCTCATATTGAAAATATAGGAAACCTAATAATGGTTTATATTAAAGTTCTCATTGTAAATTAGTATATGATATGGAACCATGAATATTGATAGGATCGAATTCACTTTAAGAATCTTTTGAAAAGGCCAAACATTTTTGTAAGATAAAGGACCACCATTTTTGTCCTATGGAGGATGATACAATCTCAGCAGTATCACACCTACCATGAGGTCTCGTGTTCGAATCTTACTCGACCCAAATAATGAATCTTAGTAGAGATCCACTAGTGTGATCCCGACATCAATTTTAGAGGGAGAAAGAAAAAAAATACCCAAATATTTTTAAGGAACAATGTAAAGTTACTTTCACTTTTTGAAAGTGTACACGGACCCAAAAAGTTGAGGGACCAGACATATGATATCGTGTAGGAGGCACTATATTGTGGTTTTCCCATTGTTTTTCACCTCTCACCAATAATTTAACAGTACGTATGACAGTGGTAAATTTGGTGCATTGGGACAGGGAAAGAGGTCGATATGCGATCACATGCATGAAACAGTGAAGTACATACAGCACATGCAGACGAAAATCCAAGAGCTGTCGCAAAAGAGGGACGAGCTGAAGAAACATGCCAAACAAAATTCAGACCACGAAACTACGGAGACACCGAGCACCACAAGAAAGGACACAATCGTAGTGAGAAAAAAACATGGTGGAGTTCAAGTTGTTCTAGATACGGCCACTACTCGCAGGCGGCCGGTTTCCAGCATTCTAGAAGCTTTAATTGCAGAAGGGCTCCAAATCGCCAGCTGCATTTCCACCAAGATAAACGACAGGTTCCTCCACACCATCGAATCCGAGGCTGCCGATGATAGCAACCCAAGTGTCGACGTGTCGGAACTCCACCATAAATTGACCAACTTGGAGAACTTTCCATTGGATTAAATTAGATTTTGTAGAGGAAAGGGGTTTTGGTTTTGGTTTTGATTCGGTGTGTGTTGGTGATTTCTTATTTTTCTAGTGTAATCTCGGAATGATTCAATAATTGCTTTCCATAATTCTTTCGTGCTAATGGGTTTTTGTTTTGTTAGTTATGTACATTTTGCCGATTCTGTTTAGTGCAAACCTGTGTTAGCATTTATTGTTGGTGTTTTATGATTTAGGTTCTTTAGTTAATTTTTTGGTTAATTTATTGAGCCGAAGAGGAGTAGGACATCTTTCTTTCTCGGAGGTATCAGGATTCGACTTCTTTTGGGAGAGAGTGAAAGGAAATTGATCCTGAAATGTTAATAAGCTTGAAATTGATTCTTCCTCGCTCGATGTCCAAATTGTAAATGGCGATAGACCAAAAAAAAAAGAGAGTTTTTTTCAGTAGTGTGCGTGGTTCATCTGCCTTCCTAACTACATATAGGCAACAATGCTTTGCACTTTGGCCCTTCAAAACACTACAAATGATCAAGGGGACAAGATTCGGACATATGGCTCTCTATTCTCAAAACAGATGGGCTGACCAAATTACAGCTGCTACACCTCGTCTCACCCTCTCCCCTCCCCTCCCAGAGCATATAGATCCACCAAATTAATGAAGACACAAACAAAACTCGACCATCTTTTTGGACAAAAGGATGCGAGAATTGATCTGATTCACATTAAACCTAGCTAGAATTATCGTGGTATAGTAGTAGTGTGGTAGTTTAGACTTCGCCGTTATCTCTTAAAGCTATGGCCACTATTTCAAGCCCTTAGCTTCTTCAAGTAAGTCTGGTTCTTCCACTTTCTAGAGTGATCCAGTTAATAGGCCACTAATTAGCATCTAGATTTTACTAGTTAATACGGGTGATGTTCCGATAAGCACATATCAAGTCATTTGAGTGAACCAACTGAGAATGATAACGAAATGCACAAGTCATTAGTTGGATGCACTAAAAGAGAACTTGAGCTTATTGGTATTGATTATAGAAAATATCAAAGGTATGGATTTAATTATTAGTGGATTAGTAGTCGATTATTAATTTTCTTATGAATACTTAGTAAAATCTTTTCTTTTAGGTTAATAGAAGTTTTTCCTTCTTACAATTTCTCAATTATTTCTACCATGTTATTCTCTTATTCTTCTTTCTTTCTTTTTTCATTTTTTTTTTTTACATAGAGACCTTTTTTCTTTTCTTTTTTCTTATTCTCCTGTCTTTTCTTTTTTCCTTTCTTCAACAACAATGTTTTCTTTTTTACTTTTATGATAATTCATTATTTTTTATTCTATCAAAAAGGAGAAAATAAATTTGATTTCACAACCACGTGCAGCCTAAGCTATGGTTCAAAATCAATGGATTTTGTGGGAAAAAAAATCCACTTTTACTCTAAACTGGGCAAATTATATATATATATATATATATCAATTAGTGATTATATTGAGAACCTAATTTTGAATACAAAACCAACTAAACTGTTAAATAGCAGAAATCTTGTTAAATACAAAATTGCAACTTTAAAAATTTATTACATTTTATTTTAAGATATAGATTAAAAGGAGACGTAATTTAGAATCATTAAAAATTTTGTACTCAAGAGAAAAAAATATTCGTTTTCTTTTATAGACGTAAGGTAGCTAAAGTTTTTTATTTTTCTATTTTATTTTTATTTTTACCTTGAAGTAGGAGTGGAGGACTCAACTAATGACTTTTTAAATTAGAGATGCATGCTAATTAAAAATTAAATCGGATCTCTTCAACAAAGTGGAGCCAAGTATTTAATAATTCATTCCGGAAAGTCCAAAGGCAATATTAATTGAATGTACTTCTCAATAATTGAATGAATTTTCTAGAATTGTTTTTTAAGAAATTGTCTGAAGAAGTACGCCTGTCCCCATACTTTATGTCTTGTCCTCATAAATAGAGAAGATGTGGCCAATATTATTTAAATGACGAAATCTAATTTACTAATTGGAACAAAAACAAGATTTAAAACCAAAAAAAGAAAGAGATTATTTTCTAAAAGGCGGTGAAAGGATGGCCTACTGCCTGTGCATTGTAGCAGTGGAGATCAGAGAATAAGACAAAAGTCTTTAAATCACGTGACCAGAAGTCTTGGACTGTTGTCAGGAAAAAAAGTCACGTGGCATAACGACAAACCAAACTCCGGAGACTGGGTCGTGGGCCACCTCATTTCATTTCTTGTTTCATGAATAGTAATAAGATTGTTAGTGAATTGACCCGTCTCATATATTCTTGAACTCAAAATAAAAATAAATAAATAAATACAGTTGTAAGATTCAATTATATTCGTATTTCTTTTATTTTTATTATTATTTCTTTTTGAATATTCCATTCATTTTTTAAATTATTAGTCTCAAAATATGAGCGGTGGTGGTGTGGTTGTAAGACAACAGGGATAAAGATACGGGCAAATTTAGGTTTGAGAGTGTCGAGACCATTACATAAATGGTAGGTTAAGAACATGTATTTCTAAATAGGGCAAAAATAAAATATACAAATCATTCTTTTAAGTTATAGTGGTAGTTACAATTGTGTCTTGTTAAATTTTAATGATAAAAATTAAATCTTCAAACTTTCATGTGAAAAAAAAAAAAATACTGAGGATTAATGCTTCCATAAAATTTTGGAAAAATCCAAACTTATAATGAATTTAAATGGATAAGGGTCGTGCTCTCTTACGAATTTGAGAAGAGTCCTTGACAAAAAGTATGTTTTAGGTTGATAAAGCTCAGGTAAATCCAAACGTTTTATGTATCAATTTGAATTAATTCTCTACATATAAAATTAAACGGAGAGTGAATAAGAACTTAACATCATATCAAAAGACATTAAAAAAAGATAAATAGTTTGTTGGAAAAGGGTATTAAATACAACGAATCCTTATGTATCTCAACAATAGAATGATATTATCCAATTTTAGACGTGACATTGCTTTTGATTTCACTCAAAAATAAGTTCATACTAATGGACATAATTGAAAAAAAAGGACTCGTCGTATTTTAAGTGAATCAACAATACGATCAGAGTCTTAAGAAAGGGGCTCGCATCTAGGGTGCCACAATGGAGGAGATTGATTTCCACCCTAATAAACCAATCACATACCTGATTAATGACTAATACAAACTGATATAACTAAAAATTTATGGTTTTTCTTTGAATAGAGAAGATGTGGAAGAGAAAGGAAAGAACAGAGGAGGAAGAAACCCAAAGCAAAGTCTCATAAAATATTTCGTCCTATTCGTTTAAAGCTTTTGCTGATGGAAACACATCAATCATAGAGAGATCGAAGCAAGCTTTTGCAACAACAATGTCCTTTAGTTATAAGATTATATTACAGCTTGGGAAAGGAAATATTGTATTATAGACAAGACAAATAGGGTAAGTTGAAAAGTTTTTCACCAACGACAAAAAGTTGAATAATTTTCGGGCTTGTCCCAATTTTTTGCCAGAAAGAATTTATGTGGTAGTCAATCTTTTAAATAGGTGGAATGGTCTAAGAATTTTTGTAAACGAGATTTTTAATATTGTTGTTGGAAAATGTCCTAATCTCAATTTTATGAAAATTTCGATGAAAACATCCGATAAAAATCAAGTTATAGCGTCATCAGCAACATGAGGCAAGTGACTCTCTTTTCTTTATCAGGTCAAGAAGGGTGAATATCAAACCCTTTATTGTAAAGGGACAATTTTGATAATGAGATAGCAAAATATAAAGCATTTTTGACAATTTCCTAGGTAAAGAAAATATTAACAGGCCTTCCAACATGAAAAGAAATAATAACAATAAAATAGCTGTGGTGATTGTGACTTCAAATTCAAGAATAATAATATATTGAGGACAAAGATATTTTTAAATTTTGTTCTTGATCTTATTCAATATCTTTGATAAAAAAGGACAATTTACCTTTTTAACGCATATACTCATTCAAACCATCCAACTCAGTTCATCTGCCTCAAAATCAAACTAGAAGCAAACAAAGAAATTATTAGAGTAACAATATTTACGTACATAGCTGGGAATTCCTATTTATTTTTTTATGTGATATATTTTTATTCATTTAACAGATAAATATTTTTTTCAAATTTGAAAGGAAGAATTGATTGAATAGTGTTGTTATACCCATTTACTGTGGATGAATAGAGAGAGAAAAAAAGACTATATTTTATCTCCTTCAGACACTGGTGAACTATATTTTTTTAGAGATATCAATCAAGCTCTTTTTTCATCATGCTGCTAAGAACACAGGCACTGGAAATAAAGCCATTGAGACGAGCTGCTCATGGCCAAGAAGAAAGAAATTTCCTCGGCAGAATACTCTTGTGAAAAAAGAAAGTAATTTATAATTTCCAAACACGCTAGAAGAGTTATGAATACAAAATAGTTATTTTTAAATTTATCTAGAAGTTTGTAAATGAATATGTAAATAAAATGCTTTAGAAGGTATCTAAGAATATATATGTTCTAAACACCTATAAACAGAGGTGTTCCCTCGCAAAAATTAAGCAAAGTACCAAAGTACAATATATAAGAGAGTTCAATTCCATATTTGTCTCATCATTCTAAATTCTCTTCTACTTTCTTTCATTGTCTCCAATGCTTCGACAGGACTGCACATCGATAGACTTCCTCGGCATTTAGAAAATTGAGAACGAGAATCAGTGAATTTAGCGGCAACTCTATAATGAAATTTTCAAATGCCTAGTCAAAATTCCATTATAAGAAATTTGAGCTTTCGCGACATACAAAATCCTCGCTAAATATTTCATCACCATAAGGGTATTTTCGACGTTTTTCTTCCGTTGATATGGTCTTCAACAGATCACGTCTGTTGGGTTTGTAAAGTGAGTACAAACAAAGTTCCACATTGGTTAGAAAGGGATTGATCCATGGTATATATAAGAGAGGAAATATTATCTTTATTGATATGAAACCTTTTGAGTGAAACTAAAAGCAATGCCATGAGGGTTATGCAATTTTTTTTTTATTACAATCGCTGCTGGTTACCTATACATTCAAATTTAAATCAAACCTCATAAACACACATTCAAAACTATTATTAAATAAAAAGTGATTTTACAACGGTTATCCAAAAGTTTCGAAAGAAGAGCAGGCAGTTCACCACCAAATTTTTTTAGTGAAAATTAGATG